AATCCGACCCAGTTAGGGTCACGCAGCCTGTGACGGGCCGTCGTGCCTGCGACGGTTCGTCCTGCTGAGTCGTCATAGAGTTTAGAGACTGAAATTTACTGAAGGGCCTGTGACGGTCCGTCGTGCCCACGACGGTCCGTCCTGCCATGTTGTCGCGAAGTTCAGAGAGTCGATCTCAGTACCCAAATTTCTAAATTCTAAGTGTTTTGGAACGAGACACCCTCGACGGTCCGTCGTGCCTGTGACGGTCCGTCGTGGGATCCGTCGACTCAGACAATTATTACCAGAAATACTCCACTGCTCAAAACGACTAAACAGGTCATTACAGTTCTCTACCCAAGTGTCTTTCTCTTTCTTGTTTTATACACTTCGTGTTATACAATTTGCTTCAACTGTATATATATATAGCGAATTATACAGTTTCTACGTTTGCTATGGAGCGCAATTATGCAAACTTTGTTATAGCATACAAATATCAATTTTTTATTTGCTATATGTGAAAGTTGCACCATTATTAAAGTATGAATATTATCACTAAATAAATTGATTTTTTTGAATAGTTAGCTAAATTTCCCTATAAAATACGGTAACCCAGCCCATCAAGGCAATACATACAAAAAGTGTGTACACCGACCCCCATACCCCTGTACCCGTCTTGTTCCAAAAAAATAGCGTACAATCCAGACAAATCGGAAAAGCAACGGCGCCTGCTAAGACTGGTCAATGGAACGGGACGTACCGGTATTGTTTCGGTACCGTTCCAGTTCGTTCTGGTTCATCCCATTTCGGTTGCCTACGGGACGGGATAGTCTGAACCAGTACACGGAACGGGACGGAATCGTGATTTTGTATCGGTATATCGGTACCGATTCATCCCGGTTCCAGTCCGGTCCGATCCGATTTCGATCCGGTTTAATTAATATATATTAATTTTTTTTATATTTTATATTTTATATAATTTATATTTATATTTTCTATAAATTATATTTTATATTTTATATTTTTCATATAATTTCTATATATTAAAATTAATTACCCACCAGTGATGATGTCATCGAACTTCAAGATTGTCAACGAGCTTTACCAAGACCAGAAGTTGATTAAGGTCAATCCATAGCTGAGTTAGAAAGAGGATTTACGGTACTATACAACTATTAGTATTACATTCGAGACTTAGTTGAAACAGAACTCTTCCTAGAAGGTGGTTGCGTAAACTATGTACTCTACTAATAGTTGTAAATTGAAATTGTAATTTGTTACAAATTTAAATAAATTAAATTGATATTTTTTAATTTTTTAAATTGTTTTATCCTTATTTCAATTTAATTTTTTTTAAATTATAAATTTTATTTATTTAATAGTTACAAGACACAAGTTATAAATATAACTTATAAAATAAATATTAATGAATATAAGTAATAAATTATAAAGTATAAACTTCAAAAGATTTAAATTTTGAAAACTTTATTAGACTTAACTTGCAAACTTAACAACAAAAAAAAATTAATAAAATATCTTTAAAGTAAACTTAAGTAAAAAATTATAGTATAAATTTAAAAAATATTAATTTATACTTAGAAAAAAAAATTTATATTTTTGTAATCCCAAAAAATATCGTCTCGTTTATCCAGTCCCGTTCCATCCCGGTACATTCCGGTTCGTTTCGGTTCCAGTCCCGTATATAGTGAAACAGGACGAAACCGATTATTTATCTCGATAATTCCGATCCGGTTCATCCCGATACCGGTCAACAGGTTCCGTTCCGATCCCGGTTCGTTCCGGTCCGGTGAACCGGTGCCGGTTCGTTGACCAGTCTCAGCGCCAACACATGTCACCATCTCCTTTTCCCCCCTTTTCAGGCATTTCCCATCCCCTGTCTCAGAAATCTCCATCTCTTCCATTGTTACCTTCGAAAGGAGGAAAGAAATTCAAATTCATTTTTTGAATTTTCCAACTGTTTCCCTCTAGCTTCCATCTATATATTTATCTCTTTGGATCAAATGAAAAAAAAGCATCAAGTTTTAGAAGGGAAAGAAGAAGGAAAAAAGAAAAACACAGTAAGAAAGTTTTAGGGTGGTGAGAAAAAATAGAGTTGGAAAGGGGGGATTAAGTTATTAAGGAGAAAAATTGATAGGAGACATAGAAAGAGGGATTAAGAAATAGGAAAAAGAATAGGATTGAGAGCAATAGCATTCTATAGCTAGAGTTTTTGTGTTAGTTGTTCGATTTTGCTTGGATCCTTCGTGTGGTGGTGAAAGTTCGATTTTGCCTGAATCCCTCGTGTGATGGTTAAGCTCGTCGTTTCAGTTTGCTGCACCGAAAAAGGATAATTTCCTTTTGATCTTAATTCATTTGTTAACTAATGTTGTGTTTAGGAACAGGGTGAAGTTTTCAAATGCCCTTATGAATTTTATGTTGATTTTATCCCTTTCTAATGCTTCTGTTTGTCTTACCTGTTATATTCTTGTTGATGTTGGATAATAGATGTTTTAGCATAAGTTTGTGTGTGATTAGTTTGTTTGTGTATTTCCTAATGCTCTCTATTTGGATATTATGCCGGAAATCGTAGCCTTGAGATTCATGTTCAAGCAACCTATTGTTGTGTTTCAGATCAAATTTTTATTTTCTTTGTGTTTGATGTCAGCCGAAATGATAATCCAGTACTTCATTTATGCAATAGGAAAAATTTAGTCAACTGGCTAGTCTCCAAAATACATCTCCGGTTCATAGGATGTTTGTTCCCTTTAGCCTTGCAAATTGTATTCAAATCATCCTCATGTTGGTCACATATGGGAGTATTGATTTCTCTGCTTCCCTGTTTCCCTTTAATGTTGGTGATTTCTCTTACAAGCATGATAAATGAGTATCATTATCCTTAAATTTTTTTTTAAGTGACTGTCTATGTTGTGTTATTAGTTTCTTCATTTAAATGGGTTGATTTGTAGTTAAAAATTGGGGGCCTGTTGAGTTAAAGATTTGGCAAAGGTTCAAGTTTGTTCATTTCATTTTAAAATTATTATCATATAGAGATATACTTTTGGCTTATTTGAGTGTTGTGCAACCTGTGCTAAGAAATTAATTAACTTGATCTGTAATGTGATCCAATGTTGCTGTTGCCAAGTATGGTTTCACTGACTTGTTGATTATCTTATATTTTTTGAACTCGTTCTTTGATTATGGTTTTATGTGCCTTAAATTTGCATATTCATTTGCTAAAAATGAGATTTTGTAGTATAAGCATTTTGATTGCTATGACTTGCCTTTAATTTTTCTTTCTCCATTTGCATTTGTCAAACTCATGGTCACTGCCAACCCCTTTGCTTTGTTGATGAGTTGTGTTCCTTTATATTTATTACTTGTTGTTCGGTTAATTCTCTTTCATCGAAGGTCGGAAGATATTATTATTGGATGCTATTGCTTATCATCATTGTTTCTATGTGTGCATGTGAACACCTTCCGAGTCCATCATGGACTCATATCTTGCATTTTCTTGAGTTGTGGTTCGTCTTTGAGTCAGCCTCATCAGTGTTTAAGAAAAATGGAAGCTGAAACGGGTGTTCTGAAAGTCCGAAAACAGGCAGTACACATAAGTATACACTGGTGTACATGATGAATATTGATATACAGGTCTAACAATCAAAATACGGATACCGTAAGTTCAAGTGGGTTGCATACATTTGCTATACAGCCCAAGATACAGAAAACGGGGCTGATATAGGAGTCGTATACACCGATATACAACTTGTTGTATACAAAAAGGGAATTGCTTTAAAGTCCCAAAAAATGAGCAGCTTCGGCTCAATGTTTCTGGGCAGTGATAGGCCCAAAGGCCCACACTCTTCTCTTCCTCTATTTGTTATTTAATTGTCTTTAGTCATTGCTTGTTATTTTTATCATTAACTCTAACTTTAGAATTGTTAATTAACTTAATTGAATTTCCCAAAAGACAAACCATATTCTTTATGTTAGTCAAAACTCTCTAATTATTCTTCAATTAATTCAAAATAGTTTTTACGTCTTAATTAATAAAATTGGTTTAATTGTTGTAAAAATATATCAAAGAAATATAAAATTGAATTAATTTGGTTTTGCCAAAATTCAACTACTTGTAATCTAATCCAAATATTTCAAGTAATACCTTTTTTCTTAATAAATTAAAAATTTTCTTTGTTTAATTATTCTCTCAGTTTAATCATTTTATTAAAAAACAATAATAATAGTCAAAAGCATTTAACCTGAATCCAAGGATAACCGTATGATAGCGGATGCTTCAAATGCCTTAAAAATCTTTTTGAAGCGTAAATAAGAATCTCTTATCCATTTTCTCTAAATTTATTAAGATTTAATCTGTTAAAATCTTTTTAAATTTAGTTTTCTTGATTTCTTTAAAAAATTGACTCTTTTCTAAGTATTTTCTTAAATTGTTTTATACTTAGAACTTTTTAAAAAGTGATTTTTCTAAAGATAGATAAATTACGGCATAACAACTAGTACTAATGTTATTACACTAATTTTTAGTGTTTTTCTCCAATTTGATTAATTTTAAAGTTAAATTTAATTAATTTGATTGACACAAAAAAGAACTATAAAGTCATCTCATGTTAATATGGTAATGAAATATAAGTTGAATATTGACATTTTAATGTGATTTAACTCTTAAAAAAGGAATATGGAAATTATTTATATATTTAAAATAAATCACTATCGCAAAACATATCATGAAAATTTTATGTTTACACCTTCTATGAGATAATATCCATAACTAGCATATTAAACGTAGACAAAATTTAAATTATGCATACAAAATTCTTATAAAAAAATAATTATATATATATATATATATATATATATATATATATATATATATCTCCCCCTTATTTAGAAGAGGCAGTTGAAAGGACTAACACAGCTTTAAAAACCTGTTCCCAAAGCTATTTAAATTGTACTTTAAATATGACTAACATAGCTTTAAGGACAAAAAATATAGCTTTAAAAAGCTGTTCCCAAAGCTACTCAAATTGTACTTTAAATATATAATATATATTTTATTTTATTTAACAGGGATAATTATGTAATTTTACCATTAAATTTGGAGATTTGTAGAGGATGAACAAGGGCAGATGGGTAATTTGGCTGTACTTTTTAGATCTGTACATTTATTGTCTATCTACTTTACTTCTTTCCTTGTTTACTTCTCCTCCACATTTGCTTCTACATTGATTTCTCCTCCACAATTCCTCTCCATTAATCTCCTTTTTTCCTCAAATTTCGCTTCAATGTTGCTGTCCAGATAATACAAATTAGAGGTTTTATCGCATAGTGGTCAGAAATTACAGAGAAGAAGAGCTGTAGAATACAACTGAGGTAACAATCTTTTTGAGCTTAAATTTCATCAAATTATTATTTTGTTCTTGCATGCAGCATCAGATTTGATTCTTGTAGCCATGAGACTATTTTTGTGTGTTTTGTTTCTGCTCTTGAAATTTGAATACTTCAACAAATATTGGTAGGGCGACAAGTAGTTGTGTTTATATATTTGGGATTGAAGATTTGTTGTTTGAGATTTGAGAAAATTGCTTTGGCTTTCAGTTCTTCAGCTGTAATTCATGGTTCTCTTTCTTCTTCATCTTCGTATGAACAACCACCTAAAGGTTACCTATTACTGCTCTTAATTCTGTATATGTGCTAGAGAATTTTCTCATCTGGGTTTCGTTTTTTTTCTTCTTTGGTTCTCAAATTTTCAATTTTTGCACTTAAAATTGTTAATATGATAAAGATCAGAGAATTTTAACATCTGGATTTGCTATTTCTTTGTTTGAGTTCCAAAAGTTTCAATTTTTACACTTAAAAGTGTTAATGTGATGAAAATCAGACAATTTTATACTCCCTCTTCTAAATAAGGGAGATATATATATATATATTGTGATTTCATAGAACATTTGTCAGTAGTTTTAAGCCTTTCCCATGCATCCACATTGTTGTCATCGAAACTCCACCAACTACATCTTTCCTTCTCCGCCGGTAACCATGCAAGCTATCCAATCTTCATCTCTCCGGTCGACCCATTTCTCAGAACCATACATCAATTCACCAATGTAAAGCCATTGAGACCCAAAAGAACCCCTTTTATCTCAGCTTCATCCATTCATATGATTTGACACGACAACTTTTGAACACCTACCAAAAGAGATGAATAAAAGAATTAACTTGTACTTTTAGCGAGTCCCCTCAAAATATAACCATCATTTATATGTAAATCACTTAACTTTTAAAAAATATTATCATTAATCATGTAAATCACCTATCACATCCGATTAAGTTCTTTTTATTAAACTTGTGAACTCGATGGAGAAGTTTCTATTAACATAGAACACCAACAGGATGGAAATACACTTTATATTACTGCATTCGTGCTAGGGTTAATGAACCTTTGTCTTTTCAATCTACTTTATATTGCAACACTCCCGGTAGCACTGGTGAACCTTTAAACTTTTCACTTTAGAGCTGAATTATAAATGCAATTAAAGATGTAGTGTTACAATTCATGACCTCTATCACCATGAAACTAAAGATTTGTATCAACTTTAAAATTAAGTAAAGAAATATAGATGTTGGCAGGTTAGTTTAGTGAAAATTTGATAATACTTTATTGTTTAACTTATTCATAACTTCCTTGAATAGTTTTCTTTGTATAATCAGTGTCTCATCGATCATATTCACTTATTTACCACATTATCATCTTGGTAGTACCAAAAACTTAATAAAGCTACCTGCTAAATTTTCGGTAATGTTTCGGTAGGATAATACAGTGGCTAATGACCGAAAGCATCAGACATTAAAGATAACAACTTTAAAGTTAGAAGCTCAGTGCATTTCACACGTTGTATACATATACCACCTAAAGATTACACGATTAACTCCATCTTAGGGTGAGAAAGGATCAAGTACTCATAGTCATAGTCTAACAGAGAAAAGTGATATCTTTTCTATACTTTAAAAGTTGAATACTCCTATTATTTCTACCTATTACTTTATTGGAATATTGAAAGACTTCTCCTATTAAAGAATGTAAGTTTATTCCTTCATATCAACTTTTTCAGTTCTAACAATAGGGTGTAAGCTTCAGTAATCTTTTTATGTAGTACAGAGTCTTCCTGTCACTATCACATGAAGGCATTAGGTGGCCTTTTAGGTCTAGTAGATCTTTAATATGAAGGATAGAGAAGTTAGAATTTAATGTGAATGTGTTACTACTGATCTCCTCTTACACACTTTTATATGTAGAATTATCATCCGTAAGTTCTATATATTGTAGGTAAAGGTATTAATGATTTGACATTTTTTGGGTTTGAATGTGAACATTGACTTTTGAGACATTTGATATTGTTTCATCTCTTCTCCTAGTTGGCACATTCTAAAATGGACCTCTCTATCACACCAGTGATATCATCATTATCAGTAACACGAAGATAAATAGATACATAAAAGGTTGAATGGGTAAAGACCATCCTAAACTTGATGCGTTTTAGTCACATCTCTTAAACTATTATTAATCTTAATTATCTGCCAAATTTGATTATTAAGAAAAACTAAGTTCTTCTATTGAGTTTTTAATTTACTGTAACCACAAGTGCATCTCTAGCAACCAACACAGTAAGTAATAATATCAGCACAAGAAACAACTCCAGGGCATTCAACTTCAACTAATCTCTTAACATCATCGATGAATGAGAAGCCTCTCGATGCCAAATTAGGATTATCTTGATTTTTTCAAATCACATGTGTATCATTAGCCTACAAACTTTTAATAGAAAGAAGCAAAAAAAAAAATCAGGAACGATGCAAATTTATTTAGCAAGGATGTACGTCAAAAAAGACAAAGTACAAGAAAATAAGGATGACTTTCAAATCATATGATCATAAAACTAAAATTTGTATAATACATGAAAGTTTCAGTCGAACCGAGGGAGTTATTCTCACCTTAACAATACAATCTGAGTATGATCGCTACAATATTTGGACCCTGTAGAACTTGTTCATCATGTAGGAAACCATCCAATTTAGTATACAGAGTAATTAAACAACAATGATTGTTAGTGAGGCCAGTAACATGTAGCTATTGAAGTTAGAAAAAAGAAGGGCAAAAATAAGACTTGCAGTTGCAAAATTTTCTTATTCCTTTTCACAACTTACAACTTTGATCAAACACTCTCGGTACATTAAAGGAAAACCTCACATAATATTGGCATGCATGTAAAAAACTTAACACTAAATTCATCATCAAAGAATCCATCCATCCTAAAAAAGTATTTAAATATTTTGTTACACAAATTTCATTACCGATTCACCCTATTTCCATTTCCAAAACTGAGTATCTTCATTATCAATAAAAATACAATGGAAAAAAAAACAGAGACGCAGAAAAGAAGGTGAAAAAACTCACAGAATTCAATCTTAAAAGCTTCTGAGTTGAAGATGAAAATTCATGTTTCAAATGAGCGTTTTGAGCATAAATGTATTTGTATTATACAATACATGAATTATAGATTAATTAGTTAGTTCTTCAAATGATATCCAATAATATCATCATTCAACTTAGTTCTTCTCTATAGAAATTTAGACACTATGATTATATTATTGAATGAATTAAATAATCTCTATAACACTATACATTGGTTCATCTCTGTAGAGCCTATATTAGATTATTGAATATTCTCTATAATACTATTGATAACCAAACTTTTTCCCTAATGACCTCAGTACTTGAAATCGAATTGCGTGATGCATCACATGATAATTTGTTGTCAATGATACATGAGGTTTATTTGTTCAGTTTGACGAGATGTTAGATATGAAGTTCAGAATTTGTCATTTAGCCCTCTACTAAGTCTTTCCTTCTCATTAACTCCCATCACACGCAAGATCAATTCTTTTTAAGTGAATCTTTTTATTCCATTGCTAAATGCTATCACATATATGGTATATGGCATGAATATTCTGTCATGTATTAGCCTTTTGATTTCTACACCAGATTATGGTTATCAGTGTCTTTATATCTACCTTTTCTCTGACCTAAAATTTTAACTTGTGTTGTGTTTTAAGAAAAGGCTAAATAAGACTTCATAATCTGTTTTTCCCCGAGAAATCATTTTGTGTGTTATTCAAGATAATGAAGAATATAACTATGTTGCATTTCAATTTTGGATGAAGCAGCTAACTATAGTTGTAGATATTGAGAAGACAGATTGAAGGAAAGGAAGGTAACAATATGATTAGCTAACCTTCTTGAGGAAATAACAAAGAAGTGCTGATTGTAAGGGAGCCAGTACTATTTAATTGATGTTCTCCTGTAGTTAAATTAACTGGTAGGTTTATAACTTCGAAAGCTTCAACTACAAAATGAGGGAAAAAGCTCTAGTAAGAGTAGGTGAGATGAAGGGTAAACTATATCTATAGATATTCAGAAGACACATTTCAAAGCTGGAACTACAAAATGGTGACCAAGACGATTTCATCTGATGGCTGAAAGAAAACTTCAAGTATTTTGGCAACCAATATGAATATTATTAACATAAAAACCATAAAAGAGACTTATAATCATCCAAACCTCAACATATTGAGGAAAAGTAAAGACATGTAATTACACAATTTTGCCAAAAAACGACTACATCTACTTGGCTTTTTTGTATTATTGAACATTAATATTGTTTCACCCATTTCTCTATTAATTGTGTTCACTATCTCTGTATACTGCATATGTACTCCTTTGAAGTGTTTCCAATTTTTTGCTTTCCTCCCCACATAGCTGCTATCACTTGCTTCTTCAAACTCTTCCAATGTTTTATCTTGATTATTTCTACTATTTCCTTAAAACCTCTTGTAGGTAGACTGACTTTTATCCATTGAGTTATTGTATCTCTTACTTTTGTAGCATATTCACATTCAACAAATAAATGATTGCTTGTCTCCATAGTTGAATCTTGGCGCATACAACATGAAGTGTCCTCTACATGTATATTTTAGGTGGTATATTTTAAGGAAATATTGGTTATATTAGAGTAGAACATAGAGTTGCAGCTAATGATTCATCCCAACGACTCAGAATCACTTCACAAATTGTCCTTTTTTTTTGTTAGAATTAGCTTGTGACCAGAGGTAATTCGTTTTGATTTTGCTAAATTTAAACAGGCAGCAACATTTTACAACTACTGTGGTAAGAACAAAATGTCTCTGGCAGCAACATAAAATCATTTATATGACTGTATAATTATCAAAGCTTTGTAAAAGAGCATATTATGTCTTAGAAGAATAACACAACATGTAATGACTTCCGGAATAAATACTTGACATGTAATGAACTGAACAATTTTTTTATACCTATTTCTAAGCAAATGTTGTTATAATGATATGATATTTTTCCCACAAATAAAATGTTGGGCATCCTACGGCTCAGAAGTGTTTATTTGTAATCGAAAAACCATTCTATTAGCAGCAATATACAGAAATAATTCATATATAATCATATAAAAAATAGAACAATGCACAATATGGAAACCAAACTCTTAGCAGATCAAACCAAAAAAAGGCAGAGGAGAAGCAACTCATGTGAACTGTGAAGATTCGATAACCCCCAACCCAATAGGAAAATTTCAGCTATTATTTCTCGTAAGTGCACTACGCGTCCATTATGTTTGATCCTATACGTGAAAACTACTAACAGAATTTTGCTGTTTTTTTTACAACAGATTTACCTAAAATATGGTAAGCTAACATTGTTGAGGAGATAACGAAGAAGTGTTGATTGTAAGGGCGCCAGTACTATTTGATTGATGATGTCCTGTAGTTAACGTAACTAGTAGGTTTGTGGCTTTAGAAGCTGCAACTACAAAATGAGGAAAATAGCTATAGTAGGAGTAGTAGCGTCTAACTATAGTTGTAGATATTGAGAAGATAGAAGGAAGATAAGAATATGCTCAGCTAACCTTCCTGAGGCGATAGTGAAGAACTACTGATTGTAAGAGCGGCAGTAGTATTTGATTGATGAAGGTGTTTTTGTCTTTTTGACTCGGCCCTTTTTTCTCTTAGCTCGGATAAAAATAATTGCTTTCTCTCCAGTGACATCTGTGCATATTTGGTACGATGACGCATATTTCTTTCAGAAGTTCTTTCTTGGGCAGACACATTATCTCTATTTTCTTCCATTCCTGTTTCAATTAGTTCATGATTTGTTAAAGTAATTTACAATTTAATGCAATATGGAAAAAATACATACATAAGTGGGAGAAAAAGGGCATACATTGAGAAATATCAATGTAGCGTTCACGAAAATAAAAATTAGAATGAGAATAAGACAAACAAGCACAATTATTTAACTAATAACATTAATTTTACAGAGCCAAATATTGAGATATCGAAAATCTTTAAATGTAATGACAGCTAAAACAATGAAAGGGGAAGAACTTCAAACATTATTTCAAGATAAGAAGCAAATTATCCTTAAAATGCGCAACTATTATACAAACACCTCTTCTTCTCCCTAAAATTCTAACCAGAAAAGTTTAAACAAATATTTTGTTGAAATTAAAATCTATAGGCACCCATGCCTTAACTAATGTTATTAAAAATTGGCTAAAGGTAAAAAATTATCACTTGACAGCTAAAAGCATGAATAAGATGCTATTCAAGGTAAAACGGATGCCAACAACTTATAGTATTGATAAAACATTTGGACTTTTAGGAGTTGGATCATTATGGTACAAACTTGGTTCTCTTTTTTCCTAGACTTGGAAAATTTAACAGCAAACAAATTTAACTGACATGATTATTATAATGCGTACCTTTCTAATTCCAAAGTACATATCACAAACACGTTTAATAGACATGAATTAATTTACTATATACTTATCTAACACCATTGTATGTAGTTTTGTGTGGACTTGTTTCTGGTTTCATTTTATGCATTTATGTAATGAATGGCATCCTCGTCAAGGTTTATGTTTATTAAGGTTAACTTAACTATATACGCATCTGCTTTTCTCCAAATGAAGCCGATCTACATGTTGATTATTCAAGCTAATTTGGATTTCGATATGCATGATAGCCATTAACTGTCTTATATATGGTGCAATTTATCTTCTTCAGATGGTCTGTTGATACATTCTTATGGGTCCTTTGAGTACCATGCATATAGTATTCAATTTTTTCATTGTAGAAATAACGTAGGAATGCATGCAGTGCATCTCTAGCAAAGGAATGCATGCAGTGCATCTCTAGCAACCAACGCGATAATAGCAACATAAAAAGAAGAGCAATAATGAAACCCAATCAGCTAAAAAATGCATCAATAGTTTAGCAAAAATGCAGCAATCCTTAGGCCTCAACTTCTGTCCAAAGTGCAACATTTGTAGAAGCAATTTTTTGAAAAAAGCGCAGCAGTTAGCTAACTTAAAAGTGCAGCAAAGTTTAGCCAAATATATAGGCAAACCATTGGATCAAGTATATCCAAAAGTATAGCAAAATTTAGCTCGACACATAGCAATATTAGACTGAAATTTGATCAGAAGTGTAAGAATTCAGCAGCAATACAATACAAAATCAGCAACCCATGGTTTAAAATACATCAAAAAAACGGAGCAGAAAAAGATTAAAAAGCAATAATGATTCAACCTCAAAATGAGGTATCAAACTATAGCAGTCAAGCTCATCAAAGGCAACGATTAATTCTCATCAAAGACTGGGATAACAACAGGGCAGACACATTATCTCTATTTTCTTCTATTCCTGTTTCAAGTAGTTCGTGATTTGTTAAATTAATTTTACAGTTTATCAATGACATTGATGATTACTATGATTTAAAGCAGGCGTGGGGGATAAACAACCATTGATCCATTTCCACCTCTGACCAGTTTAACACTATAAGGACCCCAAGTAGGCATGTACACAATCATATAACCATCAGTAACTGAAGATTAGTTTATGCTACAACTCCCTGTAGCTGACTCATCTGCATACACTCGAAACATTGTGTGCTTCCCAGGTACATCAAAACCATAGAAGTGGATGAGTTTGGGAAAAGATATGCACAATAAAACAAATAATAAAAACTTTACCTAGTGAATGATTTTTACTTTCTTTTCTCTAGACTTGTGAAAACAACAATTCATTTAGTGGTATGTATATGTCGAGCATCTCAAAGGAAGAGTTTGTGCATATATTAATGTCACAACATTGAATTATGTTAGATAAATTGCAAAATAGTCTGGAGCCAAATTGTACAAATGTGCATGATGGGAGGCCCGAAAGGGGCAATAGCTCAGACAGAAGTGAGATAACACTTATCCCTCCCTATAGCATATGCATATCCTATATGGTCTTTTGTTTTTATCTTGCTTCGAATGTTATTTCAAATGAAATGTAACTATCATTCGAGGGAATAGTAAGACAATAAAAAAGATTTTCCCATTCAATGTCATTTGGCAATGATGATGATGAATCATGGAAGTAACTTCACGGTTGAACATTATGTTAGGATTTGTTGTGAAGACATAGTGAGAGTTCATTACTTTATCCTCTCCTCGGGTTCAGTTCAAAATGTACAGAGGTTGTTGATATACTTAAGCCGAACCTAAGACTTTTAAAATCTGTTGTCTACAAAAAAATCTTAAACTATAAATCAATTTTTAATGTATAAAAAAAACTCTAAAATTAAGTTAATGCTACTTTTAAATTGTTCACATAAATATATTTTGTCAACAGCAATGTCATACCAAGTAAATAATATAATGAAAACACCCATGGCCAGTGCAATCACAAAATCGATGAATTAGAGTAACCCCACTTTCACCAGCCAATAACTTATCATAATAAGCATCAACATCATTCCCAAACACAGAAAAAAGACCCATCCCAGTTATAACAACACGCTTTTCAGGGTCTTTTTCCCTTGTTGTGGCTGAAACTGTAGTGGATGAAGATGAGATAAAAGGGGTTCTTTTGGGTGTCAATGACTTTACATTGGTGAATTGGGGTATGGTTTTGAGAAATGGGTCGACCGGAGATGGTCGGAGAGATGAAGATTGGATAGCTTGCATGGTTACCGGCGGAGAAGGAAAGATGTAGTTGGTGGAGTTTCGATGACAACAATGTGGATGCATGGGAAAGACTTAAAACTACTGACAAATGTTCTATGAAATCACAATATATATATATACATATATATATATATATATATATCCCTTATTTAGAAGAGGGAGTATAAAATTGTCTGATTTTCATCACATTAACACTTTTAAGTGTAAAAATTGAAACTTTAGGAACTCAAACAAAGAAATAGCAAACCCAGATGTTAAAATTCTCTGATCTTTATCATATTAACAGTTTAAGTGCAAAAATTGAAAATTTAAGAACAAAAGAAGAAAAAAATGAAACCCAGATGAGGAAATTCTCTAGCACATTTACAGAATTAAGAGAAGTAATGGGTAACCTTTAGGTTGTTGTTGTTCATATGAAGATGAAGAAGAAAGAGAACCATGAATTACAACTGAAGAACTGAAAGCAAAACAATTTTCTCAAATCTCAAACAACAAATCTTCAATCCCAAATATATAAACACAACTACTTGTCGCCCTACCAATATTTGTTGAAGTATTCAAACTTCAAGAGCAGAAATAAAACACACCAAAATAGTCTCATGGCTACAAGAATCAAATCTGATGCTGCATGAAAGAACAAAACAATAATTTGATGAAATTTAAGCTCAAAAAGATTGTTACCTCAGTTGTATTCTACAACTCTTCTTCTCTGTAATTTCTGACCACTATGCGATAAAACCTCTAATTTGTATTATCTGGACAGCAACATTGAAGCGAAATTTGAGCAAAAATGGAGATTAATGGAGAGGAATTGTGGAGGAGAAATCAATGTAGAAGCAAATGTGGAGGAGAAGTAAACAAGGAAAGAAGTATAGTAGATAGACATTAAATGTACAGATCTAAAAAGTACAGCCAAATTACCCATCTGCCCTTGTTCATCCTCTACAAATCTCCAAATTTAATGGTAAAATTACATAATTATCCCTGTTAAATAAAATAAAATATATATTATATATTTAAAGTATAATTTGAGTAGCTTTGGGAACAACTTTTTAAATCTATATTTTTTGTCCTTAAAGCTGTGTTAGTCATATTTAAAGTACAATTTAAATAGCTTTGGGAACAGGTTTTTAAAGTTGTGTTAGTCCTTTCAACTCCCTCAATGAATATATTGATTCATAAATAGATACTTCACCTCATGTGCTCTTTTTTCTTTTCTTTTGTGAATGACTTTCTAACTCTACAATATCATCCTCCATTTGTTCCACAATCTCATAGGAATCACGAGGTTGAGTCTTCCTCACTACTTGCCAGCCTTTGTTGGAATTATCATTAGCATAAAATACTTGGGATGGTTGATTCGCTAAAACTAATGGCTCATTTGTTTTAAAAAATATTGACTGGATTAACACTCAAAAAATCATACTCATTCTTTTTAATTCCTTTTACTTCCTTTATACACATCAAACCAATTACATTTGAATAAAACTACTCTTCTATCCAGGAAAAATTGCAACTCAATTGTATCTGTTACTCCATATTAATCAAGATTCTCTATCTTCATTCTCACCCATTACAACAACACCACAATTTTGAGTCCTTAACTTTTTTATCATGCTCTTCTACATGAAATCTATATTCATTAACAATATAACCATTAGAACGCGTCAAATATTTTATTGGACCACGTGAAAGTGAGTAGATCTTCCATGATACAACTATCATCTCCTTTATGCAATTGTGTGACCTATCAACATATTAATGTAGAATATTTTAGAATGAGTATTTTAATATTAGATATATCAAATTTTATATTTATGTACCACTCACTCTATCTTTAAACCATTCAATGAATTCTCGGATCCATTCTTCATTAGACAAGTGTTGAGCATTCTCATGAGTTTGTGAAAACTCTCTACAAAACTGAATTGAACCATAAGTCCCCATATAGAAAAGAAATTACCTTAAAAAATGAGCAAGGATTCGCCGGAAACACAAGTTGGTCCACCATCAATCAAACATTATTGTCTATTAGCGTAAAATTTATTTTTTCCAAACTTTAGCTAAACTACAATTATTTTCCTTCAATATTATTGTTTGTGCTAGCTGTATTTACAAAATCATGTGGCTAAGTGTGTCCACAAGACTGTATAAAGAAATGATGTCACTAGAAAACAGGACTAAATTGGCTATATATATACATGTCAATCAACCTTTTATGAAAAACAAGAAGATACAAGTCAAAATGTCAATTATATTAGATAATGACTTGCACTAGGTGCAAAATTTTAAAGGAAAAAAAATAAAAGATTTTTAGAAGTTATGATCTTTAATACAATCTCATAAAATAAAAATAAAAATGTGTTATTCTTTTTGAATTGTCCTAAGTAGTGGCCGGGGAACTATGTTTCGCAAAATATATTTGATATTTCAAAATGAATTGAAAATCCTTTTCTTCCTATAAATTCCATAATTAATGTTGGTTAAAAAATGAGTATTGCCAAAACGTTTGAAGCAATTTAATTTGGGATAATACTAAATTGTCTTTATAGACTATTGATTTTTATTGTATTTATTAGCCATAAATCACTAGACCTTATTGTCTCATAATCCCTCTTAGTCATTAATCATTAGCCCTTAATTCTTTCAACAATTTTTATATGATGATCTTAACTATATGTTGATTTTCTAATCCTAAATGTTGATGTAGGAGAGAAAAGAAAGATATCAATCCCAAATTCCCTTCATTCCATATTATTGTTGCTAGGTTTTATATAAAAACAAAAAATTTCTTAGTTTCTGTGTTCCTAATTTTATATCACAAGAACTTTTGAGTTTTTCGAATGCAGTTATCTGAACCGTGGGGACCCCAAAGGGACAGACTGGGTACCACCAGAATGTGATGTATCAATTCGACCAGGATGGTTTTTGCATAAATCACAAGAACCAAAGAGCCTAAGTGAGTTACTAGAAATTTACTACAATTCCATAGGACGAAATTGCGTATTGCTACTTTACGTGCCTCCAAACACACAAGGACTAATAAGCAATAGTGATGTGCAAAGACTCAAAGAATTTACAAGTGCAATTGACACAATATTCTCCACCAATTTAGCCAAGGAGTGTTCAATCGAAGCAAGTAGTCAAAGGGGAGGTAAAAATGGAGGATTCGGACCAGAAAACGTGCTAGATGATGACAATTTATGGACATATTGGGATCCAAAAGATGATGATAAAGAGCATAATTAGATTGAGTTCAAAACAAAGAGTGATAAGCCATTGAGGTTTAATATGGTAAGGATTCAAGAAGCAATTGGACTAGGACAAAAGGGTAAAAAGTCATCAAATTTATGTTGATGGGAACCTAATTGCTAATGGAACTACAATAGGATACAAGAAGCTTCACAGGATTGAAAAAGGGGTGGTCAATAATGCTAAAAGTGTGAAGATAGAGATAATTGAATCAAAGGGAACTCCTTTGATATCATCAATTGGTCTACATTTTGATCCCTTTTGGTAGTAGCCACATGATGGTCCACTTAATTAACTTCTTCTCTTCTATATAGTAAAAATAAAAAGGATGTTATAATAAATAAAGTGTTAATTCTAGAACCCTTTGAAATGCTTTGGAAAAGTTTTTTTTTTAATTAAAACAAGTTCGTCCTAGCCTTGTTCTAAGTATATATAAACATTTTTGAAATACACCCCCAAAAGTAAAAGGAATTAAAGGCAAGTATTTATTACTTTGTATTATACAAAAGAGAATCTTTATGTGTACAAAATGTTGTAGTGAGTGGTGTGTGACCACCATGCATGCACCAACTTGGGCTGTTCCATTATCACTTTAGTGATCAATCATGCATGTATAGGAACAAGACAACTCGATAGCTATCTCTATTAACACATTTTCCCATTCAAAAGGTGAAATGAAGAACAAAAGTGTCAAGGACTCAATAGGATGCCTCATTATTGCATCATCAACTCTTTTATCCTTGTGACATGTCATTAGAGAAGATGTATTTGTAGACATAAACAACCTTTGAAGTATAGTCTTTAAAGGAAAATATCGTAATCTCTTCAGTGCTATCTCTTTACGTTTTTTATTTTTTCCCCGCTGTGTATTTATTTTCAATCTGGATGCGCCACAAACTTTGCAAGAATCAAGTAAGCTATCACCCTTCCAGTTTAACATGCAATCGTTAGTACAAGCATCACTCTTATATATGAAAGCCCGAGTTCTTGAATTATCTTCTTTGCCTCATAATATGAGTTTTGCAAATTGGCGCCATTAGGCAACAACTAGTCTTTCAACATTTTCACTAACATGGTAAATGATTAATTACTCCAACGGTCATACTTTTGTTGTGAAGCAATTTGATCAAAGAAGAAATCTTTGAAGATTTTGAAATTTTGTATGATGGCAGTTCAAAATCCTTCAATGATTTTTTTGCTTCAGCATTCTGCTCCTCCTCAAGAATATCATCACAATCAGCATTTGTAATTCCTCCATGAAGATTAGGATATATCTCTCTCAACAATTCTTCTACTTCATCTTCACTCTCGCATTCTTCTACTTCATTATTATCTTCATTTTCAGACGTATCTTCATGTTAAGATTCTAATTCTTACAATGGCTCACCCAAACGTTCTCCATGGTGAAACCAAAAATTATAGTTGAGAATTATTCAATGTACGATCAAATGTGTCTCAACTATTTTACGAGTCCCTAAAGTAGTACTGTAATATTTGACAAATGGACATCGTATATCATATTCTTCTCTTGTGTTATAAAAGCATAATCCAAAAACTTTTGCACACCAACTAAGTAGATTTCATTGAACGATTATCAACAAGTTCGATACACTCTTTGCTAGGTGCCATAACATTAAGAGAACATACAATTTTTCAAGAAAGATAAAGAATGTTACAACTTTGAGAATCAATCAGAAAAGAGAATGTACTAATTAAATAGTTCATTTACTTGAATCTTCAAATAATACATAAAGAAAGAACTAAGAAAATTAGAAATGAAAAATTTCCACCAGAACTATATTTTGCAACCTAGAGGAGTAATCAAAAAAGATATCTTTTCCTATAGTCATTGGTACAAGCTAAATTTTTTTTGTACTTTCTGAAACACATAATCTCTAGAATGACATATGGAGTTAGCCCCACCAAACACATAAGAAAAACATTCTGTTTTTTTTTGTTCGAAAAGAACCACCATATCAACCTTTACTACTTGTATCCAATGTACTTTAAGGATTTATCAATAAGTATGATTGTATATAGAAAAAAGTAGCAAAAAACGATTTTTGGTACATGTACGTAACTATAAGGCTACAACAAGAAGCTTAAAATTATTTCATTCATTACTTCAGTTAGATTGCTTCCTTTTAATACTAAGTGGTCAATCCTTAGTATAGTTTTAGTTTGTGTTGACATCAAAGTGGCATATAGTTATTTGCCATTATCCTCTTGTATGTCACAGGAAGAATGCTATCTTATGGAGTCTAATATATTGGTTTGAGAGGCGTTGACTACTAGTTGACTGATTGCTCCTGAAAATCACAAGAGTAGTCCTTAATTCATGTAGTTTGTAAAGCCTTCAACAAATAAACTATGCTAACTTCCAATATCTTACAAAATAAGCATCATAAGCAATGACAAGCAAGAAAAAGATGAATAAAATTATGAAAGTTAGAACAGATCAGAACTAGGTGACAACTCAACATCAGGTCACAAATTCACTATTTTAGTTTCAGTCCAACTGTAATCTGTTTCTAGTTGGAGTATTAAAATAAACAAGGCAGAATTAGTAATCCATCTATTCAATGGAAGTATTAAATAAGCACTGGAAAGTTGAAGTTACACCGTATAAAAGTTTTGACAAACTAAAATAAGTTGATATAGTTTAGTCAAATATTAAATCAAAATACTAATAGATGTTTTCAGTCAGTTAGGAAAAACTATGCATAGTTTTTTGCTCCTATATATCCATAACACAGTTAGCCTTCTTATAGAAGTGGTTGACTGAAATCATTTGCCCAAATATGAACTAATTGGGTAGGTTGCAGGTCACTGCCTCAGTGGTGGTCAGTCACAACTCACAATTCTTAATGATAT